AATCTACGTCCATCCATTATTATTTATCATAACTATCACATTTCGTTTATTAAATATATATACATATTCAAGCATAACTGTAAAACCACCACAGTAAAATAAAATGGAGAATTACACTGGTTAATTTAGGGTCTTTGTACCATTAGGGGCGGATCTCGCTCTAGTAAATCCCTGTACTTATTTGTAGTGATCTAGGGAGCTTGATTCAGTGACAAACCTTTCCACAGCAGACTTGAAAAACGGGTTATACAGATATACAAGATATGTGATTACTCCATTTGTAGTGATCTAGGGAGCTTGATTCAGTGACAAACCTTTCCACAGCAGACTTGAAAAACGGGTTATACAGATATACAAGATATGTGATTACTCCATTTGTAGTGATCTAGGGAGCTTGATTCAGTGACAAACCTTTCCACAGCAGACTTGAAAAACGGGTTATACAGATATACAAGATATGTGATTACTCCATGTTTATTATGACGTGTTACGAAACAAAACACCTATAACACTACATAAGTTCTTGTGGTGAAATCGTTTCGCTTTCAGAGAAGCTTCCAAATATGGGAAACATGTGAAGAATGTTACTGCTTAATCGTAAATAGAATCCATTCTTCGAAATAAATATGACTAGGCCATACCGCGTGTATACGAGTTAATTTAGTATATATTGTTCTCTGTGTGTGTGTGTGGTCGAAGCAACATTCTTCTGAAGACAATCTAATATATAGAAATTTCGTCTGTAAAAAATACAACTACTACATATATGGATTTTGTATGTAAACAATACAACTACTACATATATGGATTTTGTATGTAAACAATATAACTACTACATATATGGATTTTGTATGTATGTAAACAATACAACTACTACATATATGGATTTTGTATGTAAACAATATAACTACTACATATATGGATTTTGTATGTAAACAATATAACTACTACATATATGGATTTTGTATGTAAACAATATAACTACTACATATATGGATTTTGTATGTAAAAATAGCAGCTAACACTACTGTAGTTGCAGTTGACATATTATTATTATACACTCTTCTACTTAGTTTCATTCACCAGATTTTATTAATAATTACTAATGTAGTATTTTCGTGTTATCACTTCGGAATCAAGAATTCTAACTCACTGGTTCGCCAGTTCTTCTGAATGATGGTAAAGTTAACTCAACAAAATAATAACTAATAATATATGGTTTATATAAGTAAGTAAAATAATCATAACCTTAATTCTGAAGTGCTGTGACTTAATAAATAAAATGGGTGACAAATGACACTTCATTAAATTAATCTAGTTCACAGACGTTGGAAAGCGATTTGCTAACAAAAATAGCGTTTCGATCACTGTTAAGTCTATCGTATCCTAGCCGGTAGGAAGAGCCCTGACACTGGGCAATGGATATAGCAGATACAGTACGGTTAACTTATCATTTTAAACTCTTCTTGAATTTCAAAAGTTCTTATTAACAATTAATATTTGTAGTTTTTGTCTACAAACCATGCAACTAAAATCTGCTCAAAACTAGCTATTCAGGAAAACACAAAAGTCCCAACAGCAATGACATTCATTTAAACGTGCTACAACACAGCACGTGTCCAATTAGAAAAGAACCTATGTATAAACACAACGATACACATGAGTTTTATAAAATATAAACGTGTGTTGAAGTTTACTACGTCTCAGAATGAGCTCAGTACACATACACTGAGGTTGTACTAAGCCTAATGCTTTTACTTCAGGCCGGTACGCTGAAAATAACAATCTAATTGTTTCTTTTCATTTATAGCGTCTAATTTTCGGCATAGCTTCGGTACTATTGGCTTGTGTATGGGGGGTGCCTTTTAGGTTTCGCGATAGGAGGTCACGTGGTCTCCAGCGAGAACTGTGTTAGGTACTGAGGTGAATAATTACAAACAACTTCAGGCACTGACTTAACAAACACGTTCATTTGTTAGTTTCTTCTTTATTCAAATTAGCGGTTGACTTTACACGAGGGGGGGGGACAACCTTGCCGTATTTTGTTTATTTAAGTAATTAATCGTGTTGTTACTATCTCCTCTCAAAATAATTACTTAGCGAACACGGTCCTAAGCACCGCATCTACTTCGCCACCACTGCGGATACTTGTCGAGTTAAAAACACTAGACGCGTGTTTCCTTGTATTCTAAACAAATCCACGAGGGCAGTTGTAGACTTGGAGACGCCGGGTAAATAGCCCGCCAGCAGAAACATGTACCCAGCGGGTTTCGCACCTTTCTGGCACCGATCCCCGATAATAGATCATTGCGAGTCGAAGGTTGGCGGCTGGTTAATTTGTTACCAGCGGCTTTTGTTCTTGCCGATACAACATTCCGCCATAGTTTGGGGTGAACAAACAAACACAAAAAATTTCCTTTGTATTTTGCGGGTTAAACAAGGCTCGTTTTCCCATTAAAGAACATCTAGAAACGAGGGGTTATCTCCCGGTTGATTGAGTTTTAACAATCCACGTTCTTCACCTGTTTCACGTTTGGAATATTTTTATGAAACAGATAAGAAGGTGAATTGTTAAAAACGTTTAGATGCGTTGACATGTCAATATTTCTATAACGTGAAACAGATGGACGTGAATTGTTCAGACCGCTTAGATGTGTTGACGCGAACGTGAATTGTTTAGACGCGTTAACACGTTGATTAGTTTTATCACTATGGAATATTTTTATGGTGTAAACGCGTTCATGCAGTTGTATCACTTCCCGTTCTTCATCCGTTTCCCGTCATATCTAAACGTATAAACCTGTACGGAAGACGTTTTTGTTGTGAGAAGAGTCTCACCGTATTCAGTAAACTTGAAATATTACTTGTGCGAACTATATCAAGAATTCGCTTAAACTACGTTTTATTTAATCTTCGACCCTTAGATGACCGGTGAGTGTTTCACATATTTTGTTGTCTTATGTGGAAGAAAGTTACCTCAATACGAGAGTATTAACAGACAGGAAAGCTGGATACAAATAAACTAAATATGTGTTTAAATTATAATAAATACTGAAAAACAACGTTTTTTATCTACACAATAAAAACTTTATCGAACTTTAAAATAGAAATATCACTCTACACGTACATGTTTCTTCGACGTGATCTACGTCATCCTCAGGAGTAACTTACAAGATTATTTTATACTTCCCCCTTGTTTAACAAAAATGCAAATTCAGTTTAAAATATCACATTAAAATCTGTTTATGAAAAAAACAAAAACAAAAAACTCTAAGTTTACTTTATGTTCCAGGTTTAACAAGTCAATTATATAAAGTATTTAAAAAGTATCAGAATTTTTACCCTATCTTCAAACCAATAAATAAGATAAAAGATATGATAGCGAATGCTAAAGACAGAATAGAATTAACAGATAAGACAGGTATATACAAGATAGAATGTGAATGTGGTAGTGTTTATATTGGTCAAACTAAAAGAATAAAATAGAAATGTCAGCTATAGCCGAACATGTAAAAACTACCCAACATACAATATTATGGGAAAAAACTTTAGTCTTAGCTCAAAAACTATCCAACATACAATATTATCGGAAAAAACTTTAGTTTTAGCTCAGCCTCAAAGTTTTATATCATTGAATATTAGAGAAATATTAGAAATAATGAAATATAAAAAACAAAAACAAGTATTAAATAGAGATGAAGGACCAGAAATTCAATACGTTGATATATGGCAAGATGTATTATAATTTTTTTTATATTAATGGAAATATGTAAATAACAATGAAGTAATGCGACAAGGGGGAAAGTATAAAATAGTCTTGTTACTCCTGAGGAGGACGTAAATCATGTTGAAACATGTACTTGTAATTGTAGAGAGATATTTTAAAGTGGAAGCTGTACGGCTTCAATAGAGTTTTTATTGTGTAAATATAAAACGTTGTTTTCAATTATTTATTATAATTTAAATAAAAATAAACCAATTGTTTAATTCAAGGAGCTTGTAAAGGAGAAATCTAGTTTAATTAAAAGTTATGTAAAATATTTTACATACTTGAATGTTTTAATCATATTACCTGCTTTTTATTTTATGTTCTGTACATTTTGCATGAAACATATCTATTTTTTGTTGGTACATTTATATTTATCCTAGATGAAAGTGTAAGATTTGTAATTTTTTTTCATTGTTATTTTTCTGAGATATAAAGAGGTTATAAAATAGAACTTTTCCTTTGGGAACAAGAGTATAGGTGTTTATAAAGCTTTATTTCCTCTTTTCTCTTCTTTATATTTGTGGCTTGGTTGAGAACTTATGTCTACAAACTGAGGTACATTTGATTTACTATATAGGAAACAAAAGAGTGTAAAGAGTGGGAGCAATAAGAAAATTATTTTGTTGTTGCTGAAGCTGTAGGCATGAAACTAGCATCAATATATTCCTAACAGTAAATAATTTATTGTTAGCAACAAAATTAAAATAACAATTAAAGATGATTCAAAACAACTTTAAAATAAGGTTGTAATTATTAAAATTTCAACACAATATTTGATATAAGTTTAGCACAAATTGATCATAACTTGGGCAAAAAACAAAGCAGCCACACATGGCTTTTGTATACTAGATATGAAAAATGACCTATTTTACAAAGAGATGTCTTTCTTGCATTTTGTTAGTAATACAAAAACATAAGAAATGAGATATAATCAAAGGCTTTGGTTTTAATTAGTTTACAAATTTTGCACTTTTTAAAAAACGTATTGGCTCACTCTCACAGACTGCAGACTGACACCAACTAACTTGAGGTTGAGAAGCACTAATTTAGGGTACATGTTTGTAGAAGTAAACTTTCCTTAAACTTTGATCATTGTTGTACTAATATAATTATTTTTCTTCCATATTTTTGTCTCCAACTTAAGTTGCTTAATAAAATTAAGTAACCTGTTAGTAATGACTACTGTTAGGAAATTATAATACATACTTTTCTTTCTTTCTCTCTCTCTCTTTTTTGTAGTGTGAAAGTAGCTTCCATTTCACATCCATTAGTAGAACAGGAGCTCTTTCCTTATGCTTCCCAGGTTGCCAGCTGTATGGACAGGCTATTTCCTGGAGGAAGAATGGTGGAAGAGGTATCTGTATTCAAGTTTCTGTATTGTATAATGCTCTGTTTTTTAACTTTATTTTAATTATGTAATTTTAAGCATTACATGATACAAACCCTGTTCCATATAAATATTTGTCTGTATTTTAATAGCATTTTCCTGTGAATATTACATCTTGACATGTTCAATATATCTTTTATTTATAGATTTTAGAGGTAGTGTTTTTCCTGTTATAGTCACAGCCTGGGCTCTCTTGCTCTTGATACACATCTAGTCGAATAGACACCACTTTTATTGCAAAGCAGCCCCAAATGTATTGAGATTTTGGGTCTGTCCTTTCTATATCTTAAGCAGTATATCAAAATGTCCCAGTGCAGTATGTTTGGACATAGGTTGGAACTCTGTGTTTCGAAACAGATTCTAAATGTTATTCCATTATTATATTGTCACATACAGTTACCTTAGTCTTTCTTTACATTTTTAAGCTAGTTCTTTCCATTCTATCAGCATACTTGCAATTACCTTGGATCTTTTATATAGAAATTGTAGAGTTAGTATTTTCTTGTACATTGCATATTTACTTTTTTACTGTGAAATTTTAATATCCAGAATTTTATTAACAATCTTTTTTTTTTACATATATTCAAAGAAATTATTAAAATTAGTGTAAAGAAAAAAAAAAAGTTAAGAGGTCAACATTTGACTGGTTTAATTATAACTTTACACCGTCATAACTTATCAAATTGTACCTGCATTTATTTGTTGTTTTCCTATATATTATGATTTTTACACTTACCTAAGATCTCTTTCTGAATTGTGAAGAACTGGTTCATTCCTATTAAATAAAATTGTAGATTTACTTAAATTTTATAAGTTCATACTGAAAGTGTTAATTATGTCCAGTATTTTTAACTATGAACATTTACTGCAGTTCTAACTTTTTTTGATTCATACAACTTTCCCCTTTTCACTAGTTTATTTTTCACATCTAGTTTAGATAATACCTCTCATTAATAAAAAAAAATACACCAAAAATAGTAATACAATGTGCAATTTCAACATATTTTTTGACATAAGATGTTCTGTAATGGTAATGTTTCTCAAGTAACTTAAACTTCTGGTCCATTAAAATTAATAAGAAATGGTAATCTATGTGATTTAGCACAATCTCAGACAACAAGTCAGTGATTTGGTCCAGAGTGCTCGAAAGCTATGTCACAAAACTTCATTGTTTTTCCAGGAAAAAGCAAAGGAAGCTGTAAGTATACTTTTTTTACACACTTGAAACAGGTATACTGTTTTCTCCATAATTGGTAATTGTAGTTGATCAACTTCTACCGAAAAATTGAATGTCATAAAGAGTTGTACAGAACCAACAATGACAGTCTTGGTGAAGATTTTGGTTGTATATTCACACACCTTTTATACTCTTTCCCAGCAAAAAACAAAACAAGTTTTGAGTCTGCCTAACTTTAGAGTTGACTATGTAATAGTAGAGTTTGAAATAAGAAACGAATCCCATACTATTATCAGCTACAGTTTCAAACTACATCATCTCATTAGCCCAACTAGGTCACTGCTTGTGTTCCTTCAATCTACATGATGTGAGAATACTTTTTGAAAAATATGTTGATAAAATAGCAGTTAGTTTATGTAAATGGATCAAACTAATATAGATTTTTTGAACGTTTTGATTGTGCTTTTTTAATATTACTAAAATAATCACATGAAAAGTTGTTCATGTGAAAACCTTGTAATCTTAGGAAATTTATTTTTCAATGTTAGTCTTTTCTGGTTATTTTGTATTTATTAGTTACATTAATATTTCTTTATATGCCTGTTTTGAGATATGGTTCTTCATGTACATAATGTTAATTTATGATTGCAGCATTAATAATGCATTATCTATAAAAGTTCATACAGGCATGGAATAGTCATTTCTGTGTCCAAAAGTTAATAATTTCAGCCCACTCCTGGATAGTACCTAGGCTTTGTATACAAATCTTGTGGTTGCTGATTAGAAATATCAAGAAAGGATAAAAGTTCTTTTCTGACTGGGTATTAAAAGGCTTGCATGCATTGCTGGATTTGATTATTATTAAATATGCTTAAATATTAATCAGCGAAACAGTGTGTAAAAAGAAAAGTCATTCTAGACAAATAAAAAAGAGCATGTTAAAAGAATGATTTATTAAAATTTCTTTTAGTAATAAAATAATATATATATATATAACTATAATAGAATGTGATGTTATGCTATGGGCAATGAGATTAGAACCTATATATTCAGCTCACCATTTCACTTTGCAATGTTGCCATGGCTGGAGCAATTGTTGCAGCCTTTTCTGAGGGAAGATATTCATATTGCAAGATTTTAAAATAATGTAAAGCCAAATAATACAGTATTTCAAGAAACTGACTCTACAATGTCCCTCATGGAAGCAAAAATATTCATACAGCAAAGAATTTATGACATCAATTAACTCTAAAAACACACCCTAAGCTAATCAGGACTAATTTCTTCATCTGCAAGGTAAAAATTATGACTATAAAAGATAATTCTCTGACCTATCGATCTATTGCAATGAAGCTGGATATATATCCTTGTGAAGTTGATATAATAATAACAATTTGAAGTTGAAAAAAGCTCATAAAGCAAACATTTACAATAAAAAATATCAATGTACTTTCCATAAGTAGAACTATCCCGAGAAATATGACATATTAAGTTAAAGAAATTAATATAATGAATCATAGAATATGTAATAGCAACATCACAGAAATTATTGACTTCATTAAAGTTGACAGGTCCTTCCTATCTCAAATGTGTATCTATGAAATTCTTTCATAGAAGGGATTATAATGATGTAGCCGGGGCCAGATTTGATACTCATTATTGAGAATTTAATTTGATAAAAAATATAAAATGCAATACTTTTTTGGTATTCAGGATAATGATTTTTGACAAGTGAGTTCAAATGTAATGTGCAATAAGCAGTAGCTTCTGGAAATGTCTTGCAAAGAATATATTAAACACTAACAACAAAGGAAAACTTGAAATTCAAGAGTGTGCAAAAAAAAGAAAATGTATCCTGTGCAATTATATACACAAAGAATATATTGTACTTCTAAGTACATTTTACAGAATTACTCTAGCAGCTGGAATAGGAGCTGGAAATAGCAAAGAATCCCGGTATTGCACTATTAAAGTGCATATAAAATATTCTTGTGCAATATCCAACAATTCTAGATTACCTGTGTCAATGATCATTCCCATTATATATTCAAGGGATACGAATCCTTAACTCATAATAACTTGCAGAAGTCTTAACTCTTCAGTATGACCTACACCTCAGGGATGCAGTACAGAAAGAAGATCAAGCAAGTATAAGCCTTTACACAGTCACCAATGTGGTATGCAACCTTTGTGTAAGATAGAGGATTACTGCAAGTTTATAACCTTTCATACCCTATTTATGAAGATGCAGACTAAGTAAACACTTTCACAAAATCTTTTAAGAATTAAGTGAATATAGGTACTTAACAATGTCTTAGTTAAGAACTCCTATATTTCACTCTCCACAACTAAAAAATAAAACATTTTGAATAGCACATAATCTTGACATGCCATGTCATTTAGATTTACTAAATAAAAACTTGTGTCTTAAAAACTGCAGATTTAATGAATATCTTTTGGCAAGAAATTCTAGCATTTGAAGAAAACATTATCAATAACCAATACAGTGTGTTCAGAGTAAAGATATTAACCATCATTTATGAGATCATTAAAAATACCAGTAAGGTTTAAATAAGAATCAAGTGTGAAAACAAGTGGATAAAATTAAATTTCAACAATTGGTTCATGTTAAGATCTGTATTTCTGAGTCTTTCGGAAGATTTTACTGAATCAAAATATCCTCTCTTTATATAGTCGTGACATAAAAAGCTCCTGGTAACTTTCCATAAATATTATATACTTTTTTCTCAATTATAGTTAGGGAACATTTGTTTTCAGAATTGTTTCATAAACGAACATGAACTTGGTTCATTTACTGTTTCTTTTTTAATACATGTCTTTTTATATTTTATATACCTAACTTTATACAGCAAAGCTGTGCACTTAACCCTTTCACTGTGGCTGGGATGTATACTTTCCAGTGCACTGAGAAATATATGTCCCAGCCACAGTGAATAGGTTAAGGAAAGTTTTATTGTGGACTTAGCCATTTTAACTAACCAGTTTCATTATATAGACTGTTGACTGCATGTTTAAGTATTTTTCTTCCTTTGCATATTATTATTTTATGTTCATAATAGGTTTTTGCCCTTGTTGGTTAATATTAGTTCTTTTTTTGTCAGATTTTGTTAAAAGGAAATGTGTACTACCCTTCCATGAACAATAAGAATATGTTTGGATGAAAACAGATTTTATTTGTTTATGTATATCATCTTAATTTTTTCTTGCAGCATGTAAGAGCAGATATTGAAGAAAGATTGAGTTCTACTTTATCAGCTATGAGCCTGGAACTTAAAAAGTGCACAGAAATTCAAGGTGTAGTTCATTTTTTGGAGAATAAAGTGGAGCATAGGGTATGTTTTCTGTATTTTTATAGTCATAAATTTTGATTAAGTTTCAGTATTGATTGTTGTTTTTTTTTACTTTTGAATTGTAATTATTTCTGTAAAGTTGTCTCATTTTTCAAAATTAAGTCATATGAAAATAATATAAATAAACTTGAACAGCATAATGTTCTTTTTTAGATAATATTTTTTTTTAACCCTCATCAGCACACCTTTGAAAAGTTATGTTGTGGAACATCTGGGGTCAAACTGGACCCCAGCACAAAATTACCATTATAGTAAGCTCTGGATTGAAATTCCGAAAACCAACTGCATTATTAGGGTTAGCATGTAATACGAACAACATAAAAATATATATGTCTAGAGGAAATTTATTAACAAATCAAGAAGTTACATTGTTCCTCATATACAAATAAGTAGTATTAAGCCATTCCTTATACAAACAGTGTATCAAAAGTTGCCAAACTTTTATTATACTCCTATATTCAAGTCATTATCCACCAATATATGATGAGATTACGACAATACTGCAAAATTGAACTAAAAAAACTTAGTATACGTTGTGGGTCACCTTGGATCCAACCAGACCCCAACACAAATGTATCCTTATCGTAGGCTATGGGTTGGAAATCCAGTAAGCAGGTTATTTACAACAATTATCAAACAAGGTTTCTATAAGGTAGGGCATTATAAGCAGTAATCACAGAGAACACTTGTTGAGGAATGAAATATGCATACATGCTTACCACAATGATGTTATAAGCAAACAGGCCAGATGATACTGTACTATTTTGATGGATTATCCTATATAACAGCCTAAATAGTGAAATAAACATTTAAAAATTTGTTTTGTATGTTATTAGGTGCACTGCATGTATAGTGATGGTCAATGATAGTATGGGGTCTGCCTGCACCCTAGATAAATATTAGATTATAGCTATGTACTCTATCTGCCTGTTTAAAAAACAATAGTGTGGTATTGATCCAATGTTTCTGCTTGACAGTTACATGAATTGATATAAATCTGTAATTATCATGTAAAAAGAAATACAACCAACAAAGTTGTTGGAGCCCAGCCGTGCTGATGAAGATTAATGTGGTTACTTTTCTGTTAGCCCTATCTGGTTGGTAAATTATTTTAATATATATATATATATATAT